AGGCAGCCTTATGCTTCATTGGCAACATTTTCTTCAGAGCCCTGGCTCACATGAGAACCTCCCTGCTGTCTTGTTTTCTTGCATGGATATATAATTCTTCCTTTATGGGTCCTCGTTAATTAAAAATACTTGGAATAGTTTGGATCCCACTGTAGCAAAACATCATGGCATAACACATAAATTATGAAGAAGAAACTACTCCTAGCATGGATCACTTCCCAGTATTCTTAATAACAGGGAGAACAGTGAATTTCCAGCCCCTCTCACCTCCCGTGTTACTCCCTTCCCTGGGAGTGGCCAGTCCTGCTCTCTCCTCCAGAATCTCCATTTCCTTCTGTTGCTGTTTTGGAGGGCAGAGGTAGAGCCAGAGTCCTAAGAGTTCTCTGGTTGAAAGAGCAGAAAGCTGTTCAAAATAATGGTCTCTTAGTGGAAGTACAATTAAATGTGGCCTCTGTAGGGAATAGAGGCCAGATGTTATATGCTGCCTCTGAATTTTTTACTTCTGCAAATTAAACAGGGTGGGGGGACAGATAATGCCTGTGCTCCATAATCCTCTGCTCTTTTAGGTCATGCTTAAGTTGATTGTTCAGATTTACCTGGTTTAGGGCATTTTTGTGTATTCGCTCTTCTTTTCCCTGTTTTTTATCCTAAGCAAAGGATTGATTATCAAAATTTTATTTATCTGTGTGCTTCTCAATTTCTGGGTTTTTTTCCAAGATGTTTTATAGAATAATCTGGAATTTATCCATAAAATTGCTAGTGAGTTTTCCTGTAACTGGGATATCATGCATCCTTTTATACAAGCTTGTTTTAGCTCATTATTATGCTATTCTGAAAGCTCTGATTTTTATATAAGATATTATTTTGTAAAAGACCCCTAGTGAGGCAGTTGAACATTTTCTTTCTCAGCTATTTCCCACCAAATTTGCACATGGTGCAGCTTAAATTCTCCCCTCCTCTCCTGCCAACTCAGCTATAGTCAATCATGCAATTTAGTCTGATGATAATTTATTCTACTTAATCATGCATGAGATGTAAAAATCCCAGAGGAGGAGTTTGGGCAGCTGGAAATTAGGAAGGGGAAAAAATCCCAAACCAAACATTCTCACCTTTTTTTCCTTGCAAGCTCAGCATATCCTATGCTGAAATTACTGAGACACTATGGTGCCCTGCCTTTTTTCACAGTCCCTTGGTGCAGGAATCACACTTTAAATCATTCTCCAAAAGCATGACTTAGTTAACACTTCATTATGCAAGAAGATTTCCACTATGCTGTAGTTGGCAAAAAAATCTGACTTTCCTCATGCATTTTGTCCAGCACCCACTTCAAATTAAGAAAATGAGACTTTAAAAGTTTTTGTCTAAAAGGCATATGCCTGAATGTCTATTTACCCAATCACCAGTTTTACTGGGTCCATATGTTAAAATATGAAAGGTCAGATACCACAGCTAAATTAAGATATTTCTGTGACTTCTTTTCCTTTCACGGAATAAGTATTTCACTGTACAGCATTATTTGAAGAGTAGCATGTTTCATCTCAAGGATCAGGAATGGCTTGCGGTATAATTTTACAATGTGGCTCATTAAATTAATTTAGTAAGTGAAGAACATGATTGTTTGCTCACATAAGTGTTTTCAAATTGTGCTTTTCAGACTACCAGCTGTCTGAAGTATCATAGGAACGGCTGCATATGTGGTCCCAGGGCCAAATTATCCCTTTTACAGCTTATATTAAGATGATGGGAGCCTCCAAAATATGTGAAGGAAGCAAGGGGTGTAGGAAATCTGGCAGCCATGATTTTAGTGGAAAATTATTTTTCAAAAAGCAGCAAATAGACTTATCACTAGAATAACACTATATCCAGTGTCCAGCAATGTTCACACTACTGTGAGGCTGGAATTCAAGCCATTAAAAACTTGTGGATACTTAGAGTTATTTTTTACATCTGAATCCTAAACTCTTTGTTCAGTTTTTACTTCTTTCTTTAAGCAAGACTCCAATTTGCTGTATTTATTGAATTTAAACAGTGAGGTTACATGCTAACATCTGATAACACCTATTTTAATTCTGTATCCTTTTATGATATAAGTTTGAGTTGAAGAAGAGAGATTCTTCTGAAATGGGTAAATACCCTTGCCATGCTACCGGAAGTATAATTAAAATATAAAATGGGGGAAAAAAACACCCACGACATTTTCATCAAAATCAGTCCAGCTGCGCTACCAGATCATGTAAACTTTTATTTCTGCACTTAGACCTTCTTTATTGGATCTTTTTCAGCTAAATGCAATGATCTAACTAGAGCGACCTCAGCATATTTCAATATGCATGAGCTTATGCAGAAAGGCTTTTCAGCTCTGGGTTTGTCTGTAATAATGGGATATCCTGACAAAGAAATGGCAGAAGTATTTTACAGGAAGTGCCATCAAGAAGTCATCTAGTTCACTTCCCTACTATAAATATTTTTAGATCTATTCATTTATATAAAATGTATAAAAAGTGCAGTGATTGTTGGAGAAAATTCCTGCTACTCTTGTATTCTTTATTTTTCGTCATGCTAACAACACATGGAATTTCTTCTTCTGATATGACTGGCTCTCAGAAAACATTTGTAAGTTTTTTTTAATAACTACCAATATTCAAAATGAGACAATTTTAAACAAGAACTTGATGTATCTCTCATTACAAAATATCACATTACGTGTTTATAAGCTGCCTGTGCATATAGAAACAACGAAAAGGTGGACTTCAGTCTGTAATTCTTTAGGAAATAAACAATTCTACCCTACATTAAATCAGGATGTTAATCGATTCCATCTTTAAATCCTCATAACAATGCAGATCCTGATTTGAAAACTAACATCCCCTTCAATTAAGAAATGCATATACTGGTACATACATGTCACACAAATTGAAAAGGAAAACTGCCAGAAATGAAACAGTAAGGATTAAGTTTAAGTTAAGTTCATTTCATATGACTAAATTAAAATGGCAAGTAGCCTTTCTGTAGAGTAAAAATTCAGATGGACATTGCCCTGAGGAAAGTGGTCTAGGCTGGCCTGTTCAACTCTGATTTCTGTAAAGAACATAGAATCATTGAGTAATTTAGGTTGGAAAGTTCAGTCAGGTTGCTCAGGGTTTTATGCATTCAACTTTTTTAAAGATTTCCACGGTTCTGGATTCCACACCATCTGGCACCATGCAGCAGCAACACCCAACTCCATCCCTACAGAGCCACAAAACTTCTATTTCTACTGCTCAGCCCATCCCCACTTCCAGCCCCACTCACTTCCTTTTCACATTTGAACTGGGTTAGGAGTTTCCTGTTCAACCAGTCTGGCTGCCTGCTGTGTACACCCATTTTCCTGCAGTCCAGTGCTTTCAGGATGCTGGCATCTAAGACTGAGCAGTATCTGTGGCCCTTTGCCCTTCAGAGCACCCTGCCATGAATCACAGAGTGATTTGGGTTGGGAGGGCCCTTAAGGATCATCTCATTCCAAGCTGCCTGCCATGTGCAGGGACAACTCCCACTAGACCAGGTTGCTCAAAGCCTCATCCAGCCTGGCTTTGAACACCTCCAGGGATGGGGCATCCACAACTTCTCATGAGATCCTGTCTGCTGGCTCCCAGAACAAGCAGAAGTTCAGTTTTGAGTCTGCCACTGCTACTTCTACTCTCTGCTTCTGATAATACTATCTCCCTTCGCTTTTGAGGAAAAAAATATTAAGGGAAGAGTAAATCACAAATCATCCAAAACCACACAATTTTTAATTTTTTTTAAAAGAGCTGCTGCATGGTATCATATCCTGCTCTTTTCAGACCATAAAGGTGGCATAATCTTACTCCTTGTTTTTCTAAGTGTCAGTTTCCTTCAGAGAGACAAAAAGGTGATGAAACAGCTGCCACATTGTCTGTGATTGTGACACAGGTGCTTATCAACTGGGAAAGAGGAAGAAGTGGCCAGTCAGATTCTCCATTCTTCTGTCTCTATGCTTGAGACAATATGTGTATTTCATTTATATCTGAATATTTTTAGGCCTTTGAATTTCCAATACTTTGAGATATGTCTAGAGATGTGCTGGCCATTCCTTGCGTTGTAACACTGCCCAGCCAGCTTCCTCTACTGAATTTTAGTGAGTAGAGCAGATCTGCTTCCATCTGTCAATGAAGCCCCTCAAAAGTTATCATCTGCTTTCTGTCCTATGATATGCCACAACATAATTCCAACTGCTTGCCCTCTTTTTATATAGAGCTGGTTTTCTTCCTCTCTTCACTATGAGTTTGTGTGTTGTCCATCTCTCAGGTTACCTCTAGAGAGGAAAGTTTATAGAGGGAAGATTTCAATTTTTAAAAGGTTTTCATTCTCACACTCAAACTCCTCTAAAAATAAGGGTGTTTTCCATTGTCATTGAAGGATTTTTTAGAAAGTTCTCCATATGCGTAAATGTAAATATCTCATGATTTGAAGATGTATGTTTTATTTTAAACAAAAGAAGTAGGCAATTTAAAAATAGTCCAAATGCTGAAATTTGCAGTGGAAAAACTGGCATTTTGTCAAATACAACCTATTTGAGACTTCCCTAAGTGGCCAGTTAGGCATTTAAAATGCACTTGGTTTTTGAGCTATCTCCATGAACTTCAACCACATGCTAGAGAAAACTTCCTGTTGTGGTTCCCAGGCGCAGCACGGTGGTTTGGATTCATTCTCGGGCAGTTCTTCTGAGGGTCAGTTTGCAACAGTTCCCCCAATAGCTGGTGGCACCCAAGGGCACTGAAGCAGTCCTGGTGCAGATAATTTGACCACATTGCACCAGGAGTGGTGCAGCTCAACTGCCTCCGACTGCTGCATGACAGCTGAGCTCTGCTTCCTGTGATAAAAGCAAAATGCCAGGGAGGAAAGGTCAGAGACACACTTCTGAAATTTCTGCGAGGAGAATGGTTTCACAGAATATTCTGAGTTGGAAGGCTTCCACAAGGATCATGGAATCCAGCTCTGAATGCCCCATACAGGGATCAAACCCGTGACCTTGGCATTATTAGCACCAGGCTCTGACCAGCTGAGCTCATCTCAGGGTTTTCATTTCTAAACTTGATCTTGGTAATGTTCTTCCTTCCACTGTGTGTTTTCCATAAGGATCTCCTTGTTTGCTGAAGGAATAACCAGGCTTGAGAGGGAATGGCTGAAGGTGGCATAGCAACATGTCAACCCCCTTTTTTCCACATTATAAATTCAGCTGCCTTGGAGGAAACCACCTCATGACTTGGAGTACTTTTGGATAAACATTATTAATAACAAATTCTAATTGGTCATTATTGCTTGAACAGAAAATATCAGATTTCATTTTCACCAAGAGGAAATGAAAATGTCATGTACTGTAATACGACAAGCATGGAATTTACAGTAGTGATATGTACTTGTAATTACCTTTATAAGTGTAAATGCACACAAAGCAGAACACCAGGGAGGCCATTTTACAACAGATTTAATCAAGAGAACATCTACGTCTCCTCATAAACTTACCTAACCAACTTTGAAAAAAGAATGGAGTTGATTAGACAGGTTAATGGGGTGATGTCTTTATAAATGACAGATGGCCATGTTAGAACAGAAAGTTGTTCACTCTCCATTTTTTATTTTATTTTATGAGACTATTTTACCTTTTTTTTGGTTTTACTTATGAAAGAATTGCTCATACATTTTTGATTAGCAATGTTTCACTGGAAAAAAAAATTTCCAATGAAATTGAACTTTTAACTGGATGGATGTTGTCATTATGCTTAAGTGGCAATAATCAAAACTAAAATACAAAATGAAATTTTTTGGAATTCCAGGTCTTTATAAACATCCTGACCTCCCCCCATTGGCCTGCAAATGGAGAAAAGTGCTTACAGATTTGCAAGCTCATAAGAACATAACAAAGAAATGGAAACATGCAGAAGAAAGCTAGCTTTTTAATGTATAAGGAGCCCATTAGTGGTGAATTTGGCAGAGTAATTAAAAATTGCATGATTAAAAAAAAAAGAGAGTTAATTAAGAATAATTTAAAAAATTACTATCATGCAAAATTAGCTATACTTAAAAAAAAAGAAATTATATCTACCAAGGGCACTCAGAATGATTGAGGTGTAGGATGTGGGATAACCTAGACTGTTCATCTTCCCTCAGATTTACAAGGTGTCTGGAAGTGAATCACACAAACAGTGTTAACTGAAGGAGGATTCACCAGGTTCTTCACACAGGTCTCTGTCCATGTGCTCTGGGACCCCTGGGCAGGCCTGAAGGGGAGGATGTGCAGCACCTGACCTTGCTATTGAAAGCCCCTGAGGCAGCAGCAGTTCTTGGCTCTCTCCTGAGCAGCATGTGGCAGTGGTCTGTGTGCCACCACTGCTATGTGCCATGATTTGGGAAGCTCTGTCTAAAGATTCCCAGTGCCTATGTGGCCATTAGATAATCACAATCATGCAATTATTTCTTTTCCCATATGAAAGGAAATCCATTCTAAATAGACCAAAAATTAAGAAAATATGATATGCATTGCTAACCTTCTCCTATTTTCTTCCTCCTTTAGCATTTTTCACTAACCTGAAGTGTACAGCTTCTTTATCTGATGCAGATCATTGATTAAAACAATCCTATTGAACATCTCTCTAGCCTTCTGTGCATGAATGTGAGAAAAGCAAAGTCTCTCAGGAATGTTTCCTCTTGAAATTTTCTCAGTGAATTTAGGATTTATGAGAACTACTAGAATAAGTTTTAAAAAAACTCTGAATTTTTGGGGCCTTTTTGCATTTATCAGGATTGTAGTAGCAGAACTAGAGTGAAACAATATTGAAGTACCTTTGCAGAACTCTGCAGCAGACAGCAGTAATGAAAGGTAATTCTAGACAGGGTAATGTGGCTGCAGTGCATCATAGTCTGGATCAGAGTTCTTGCAATGTTTTCAAGTGCTAGGATACTGCTGGGGTTTTTTAATGAAAGTGTAATAACATATCAGAAGTTTAATTTCATTTATCTGGCCGTATGTAAATCAATAGTTTCCACAACAGCATCTATTCCTCATTAACAGAAATGGATCAGCTTATCCCTTAGGCAGGTGAGTGGGTGGCTGGCAGCTGCACAGATAACAATGGTCTTGCTTTTACCAGTAACATTTGGGGTGATCACTTGACATCATATTTAAGTCATCACACAACTCCATCAATTCACCTCTTATCAGCATAAAGAAGATGCATTTCACACAGAGTATTCATTGAGGTATCAGCTGGGACTGGCTTCATGTCCCTTGTTGGTGCTTCCACAGGTGAATTGCTGTAATATTGGTAGCATCTCTTATCAATGTACTACCATCTGGTCAAGTGTTACCAAATCAAGATGGACATTGTTTAGATCTACCTTTGCTCAATAAATTCCTTAATCCTACCTCTTAATTTCACTTTCATTCTATGTCCTAGTATAGGGTCCCTGCTACCAGATAGGAGATCTGAAGAAAATCTGCAATTTCCCCTGAGTTAGCTAGATGTTCGCAGCAGTGGGAATAGGATATAGGGGATAATACAGAAAAGATTATGTAAAAGATTTGTATTTTCAGGAAATACTGGCTTCCACTGTGCCTGATGCTTAACAATAACCTACTGCCTTACAGCACCTGGCTGCTTTGCAAAGTAGTCAATTTGAGTGCCTTGATATGCAAAATACCACTGACTAATCCAGTCAGACAATCCTTAATCACTTTGTGACTCCTCAGGTAGATAAGTATAAGAATGTTCCTTGGTGCATGACTTCTAATAATCTAATGAAAGACACTGCAGGTTGGTCAAACTGCAATCTTCTAAATATTTTATTCCTGTTTTCATTCTGTTCCTAAAGCAGGAACAGATTCATTACTGCTCTGTATGGACTGTTTCCCTGAGCATTTCCTTGCCAGTGATTCCTGTTTCTCTAAAACAGGCTCTTAGTCCCCATTCCTTTCACTTTCTGCTGTTCCATTCACTCTTTAATTCACCTCATTGTTTTGATATTGTCCTTCTCCTTCCTTCTAAAACATGAAAATCACCTTCTCTTCCTTGACTTCCTCATCCCCCTACATGAAGCCCTATTAAATTTCTTCCCTCCCACAGAGCCTCATCCCTCTGAATCCTAGAAAAGCATCAATTCAGGAGGAGCTATATTGAAAAGAAAATGAGGTAGCAAAAAAATGTGTGACAGAAAAATGTAAATAATTAGTGGCTACAATAGAAAGGTTTCAGGTGAGACAAAAATAATACAGCATCCAAAATGTACCTAAGCTATTAAGAAAACCAAACACAGCATGAATTTTCAGAGATGCACCCTCTCCCTTATTTTTTTTCCTTTTTGTGTAGCCACCAGTTGCTATGTGGTCTCTGGGAAACAATGACTTTGCCAAAATCCTCTGACTTGTCTGTTCTCTTTTGTGTTTGCTGCAGTGCTATGAACAAGAGAAGTACCAAAAGACAGAGGGAGATTATATGGCTCCTGTGTCCATTACAGCAGCATCTCTAACCTTTGTAGTTCAAACTGTACAATAGAACTGAAAGATGGAAGCATCACAATATCTACCAACTGTGAGCTGTTTTTATAATGATAATAATAATAGTAGTAATTCAAGTTTTTGTTACTCATTCCTTGCTGTGATGTAGCACGGGCCTGTAACTGCATTTATTCTACAGATCTTAATCCAGCCTCTGTGAGAAGCAATTTGTTGGGGATTTCAAAACATCCTCTGAGATCATACTAGAGTTTTATGCAGAAAACCTCTCATAATCCCTCTCAAAACTCTAATATGGAGCTATTTCTGGATCTTATGCTTCTTTTGGACCAGGCTTGGCTGGAGAGTTTGAACAGTACATGAAAAACAACTGCAGTGCAAGCTGAATGTGATGAGGGAAGGGTTGGGAGCAGCTGCTTCCACAGGCTCACAGAATCCTTTGGGTGCAGCACAGCAAGGCAGGTGAGCACAGGTGCAAAACACCTCCCTCCAGCACACTCTGCAAGTGCACAGGTATCTGACCTCATGAACTTAAACTTGGCTTTCAGTGAACAGGACTCAAGTGAAGAAACATGATTTGTAGTGTCTTCTGTTTGCTCATGTCAGGCACCTTTGTTTTGCCCAAAACCAATGTAGGGTTTACTACCAAAGCAGAAAACAAAGCAAACATGTCTTTCGGTGCTGCCAGAAGCTGGATTTTTAAGAGGTCTACAACAACAATCACATCTTTTAATACAAATGTGGGAGCGGAAAAAAAAGCTAACAAAATAAGGGTGCAGAATCAAAAGGAAAAGTAAAGACTGCTCACTAAGAGTAGTGCACAATGAGGTGTTTCATAAATTTATTCAGAATTTTCTGTGGTAAATGTTCCTGAGATATTTCCTGATATAGTCTGCATAGTGTAAGGAATTACTGACATTTTGAAGACTCCTAGGTTAAGAGAAATAAGAAATGAGGTAAGGCAGCTTCTTCAGCTCAGTGCCTGCATAAATTCCTTAGAGTATGGAAATATATTTTCCAATGCCACCTAGCTGAGACTCATTAGACATTCATTTATTAATTCAGTGCTTTTAAGATTGGTAGATTGCTGCTATCATGAACACATGATGCAGACAAATGAAGAGTTATACTGATTACACTTGCAAAGAAAAATGAGAAAAAAAATCACCATGTGCATTTTTAAAAGTGCATTATAAAAATGTAAAATCCTACATTATAAAAAATGCACCGAAGTATATCTAAAAATGAAATAATGCCATCTAACACATACTGCAAAAACCTTCACACCTAATCAAGAAGAAAGCAAGCTTCTTTAGGCAAGGCTGATCTCTGTGTTGGGATGACATAGCTCTCTTGAAGTACTATGCTCTCTGCAGAAACAGAGAGGACCTCTCATATTTGAGGTGAACAGCATTTAAAAGCAGCTTTTAAATTTGAATTTTAATATCTGATCAAGGATTTTTAAAGATGCTCTAAATCACAGAATCATAGAATCATTTAGGTTGGAAAAAATCGCTCTTAAATCATGGAGTCCCACCATTAACCCAGCACTGCCAATCCCACCCCTA